GGCAGTAGCTGCCAGCAACCTTCTGGCTCTGGCTCTGGCTCTCCAGCACCCTCACGCTCCTGCTAAGCTTTTGAGGTTTAGAACTGCATTCTACAACCCAACAGCACCTTTGTTCCACTCCAGCCTCGTTTCCCTCAGACTGTATTTTTCTTGTTTAGGGCATCTCAGTACCTCCTGGCGTCTCCATCATCAGTCTCTCACCGGAATCAATGCAATTCTGTCTTCTCACCTATTCATCTCAGTCAAACCTCCTGTAGCAAACATACCCTCCTGAGAAACAGCCTAGACACTTGTAAGACCGCACACTCCATTTTGCACTATTGGGTCACCTAGCGCTTCAGCTGAGTGTAGCCCATCTGGGCTTTATCGTCTCACACAAACCTTTTTTATCTAAGATTGTGGAATTACGATTGCTCTGAGCGTTTGAAAAACAACTTCCTCAACTTGAATGCTTAGGCCAAAAAATTTGGAAGTGAAACCCAGTGCCCCAGCCAGCTCAGCTGCACATGGTCTACCCTGGGCCTAAACTTTATCATTCTTGGACAAAAATAGTCCACTGGCCTAATAACTAGTGAGGTCACAGGAAAACTATGTTGTTGTGGAGAGTTTCTCTCAGAGCCTAAACTTACCCTTGAGGTTATAGTTAGTGCCAGTCCTTAAAACCGTTTTAATGGATTTTCTTAACAGTTTAACATTCTACCGAACAAAATTTCCTTGAAAGTTTGATTTATCACTGATAAACAGAACAACACGCAATAGGACAAGTTTACTTATTGGCAAGTCACTGTGAATTGGAAAAGACTTCATGGTAGTGAACTTGTTTTTGTTTGGAAATATTATGGGTTTTCCACAACAAATATTAATTTAATTTTCTCAGAATTTGCCCAACTGAAAATATGTGAACAGATGGAATGTTGTCTACTGTGAAGAGTGTACATCTTACACACCAATAGGCTTTAGGAAGATTATTTCTGCTGTCACCTCAGGAAAGGTATTAAAATCAAACAAACAAACACTTAAGTGGGCCATCATCTCTTAGTCATGGGAAAGAGCTCTCAATGCTTTTAAATGTGGGCTGGGCCATCCGTTTTACGGAGTTGTGTAAAGGAAAACTTGAACCAGGCTGGACTTCCACTCCTTTCCTGGTTCCACCATCTCGTTCTGTTCCTCTGGTATCTTGAGCCTCTTTGTCAGATTGCCATCAAGCCTGCCACTTGGTTACCTTGGGCTGAATGTTG